GGCAGCAGCAGGGCACATACCAGGCCCTGGTTGGGCTGGGCATACAGGCTGATGAGCTCCCCCAGGGTCTGAAAGCGCCTCACCGGCACACCCTGCGAGGTCTGCAGGCCGGCGAGAGTGGGGGAAGGGTCAGTCACCTGGTCCCCAACCTCAGGCTAGAATCCAGGTCGGGGTCAGGGTCCAAGCTCCCACCTGCACAGCCAGGAAATCTTCTCCGTCAGGTAGAATCCGGTACGTGTGCACATGCTTCTGATACCTGACGGCAAAGCAGGGGGTCCAAATCTATCTCCCCCGGGATGGCATCTAAGCCCCAAGGCATCCCTTCCTCCAGCCAACCAGCGGGCCCAGCCCCTGGGGCCCCTTGGCTAGGTTTCCCAAAACTGTTTACCCAGGCTGCACAGGGTTAATGATGGGGCCTGTCCACTCTATCCTGCTGGTGCTAAGCAGAGCAGGAATGACCGGACCCCACCCCAGACCTACATATGCTCCACACCCACTGCAAGGCTGGGGAAGCAACAGGCAGCTTTTTTTGTGGCTTCTGCAGCTGTTTAAACAGACCCTCTGGGCTGTGGTACCAGTCTGGGCCCCCCGCCAGAGTAAGAGTCCTCAGAAGCCTGGGTAACTCGTCTGCGTGCATGGGTAATGTGCTACCACACGTGTGTCTGCTGTCTGTATTTACGCTGGTTGTCTAGCCCTGCTGGAGTCAGGTGTGTCTGGAGCAGTCTTGCTGAGGGGATGTGGGGATACCTCCCTAGGGCTTTCCTTCCCCTTCCTCAGACACCAGGAAATTGGGAGGACACACGGGGGCCCCCTGTGGGGGACCTGGGCCTCTAGGAGCCCCAAGCTGAGGAGGGGCACGAGGGTTGCTGACAGATGGCAGCCAACAGCTGAGCAGGTGACAGCTGAGCCAGGCCTGAATGGCACAGCCCGCACTCGGTGGGGGCGGAGGATCTCTCTACAGCCGTGCCTCCAGGCAGGCTTGCCCAAGGGAGTCACCTGGGCCATGTGTCGGGCAGCAGGTGGGTACTGGCATGAGAGGATCAAACGCCTACTTGAGGAGACCTATACCCTGGGCACAGGGCCACTCTCTCCTCTCAGGTAAACTCTCCTTATGGGGACTCTCCTGACTACTGGGCACAAACTGTGTGGCTATCTGTGTGTGACTGGGTGTGTTGGTTTGTGGACTGTGGGTCTGTGTTTGTAACAATAACAGCATCCCATTAACTGTGTCCTGTCTCTGTGACAAGCCAGGTACTCAATGTCCTACAGACAAGATCTCATTTAATCCTCACACTTTAAGGAAATATTATTATTATCATCTCCATTCTCCAGAAAAGGAAACTGAGGCTCAAAGAAGAAAAGTGATTTGCCTAAGGCCACAAAGGAAGAGGCCAAGCTAGCATTTAGAGTCAGGACAGAGGCCAGGACCTGTATCCTGGCCTGCGTGTTGGTTGCCTGTGACTACAGGGGCAGGGGTATGTCTTTGTTTCCCCTGTACACATAGGTGTCATGTACAGGTAAGCAAGTATGTTTCTGATCACCCATCTCTAGGTTCCTGAGATGCAGGGAGTAACCAGAGTCAGCTGGTAAAGCTGAAGCTCCCACACACAGACAGACCCCCACCCCACCCAGCCCCTCCCTGGCAATGGAGCCAGAATTTTTCCCTCCTGGGACAATAATGTTCCTCCTCCAGACACAGGCCCAGCTGTCCCCCTCCCACTCAACAGCTGACCTAGCACCTGCCTCCCTCCCCTCCCTAATTAGGGGGTATGCCTCACAGGGGGCTGGTATGCAGGACTCTTAAGATATTCATCTGCCCAGTCTCCCCTCTTGGGCCTCAGACATGGAGACATAAGCCCCTTCCTCTTCAGGTCCACTGCCTAGGCCAGGGTTTCTTGACCTCAGCACCGCTGACATTATGGACCACATTCTTCTGTTGTGAGGGACGGTCCTGTGTGCTGTTGACCAGCATCCCTGGCTTCTGCGCACTAGAAGCAGGTAGCATGATGCCAGTTGTGCCAATCAGAAATATCTCTGCCAACTGTCCCGAGGGGTAAAATCAACCCTAACTAAAAACTCCTGGCCTAGGCCAGTGTACCCCCAAAGATGTGAGGAGAACAGAGGGGAAAGAGACACAAGGATAGGGACTTGGGAGGGCTCACGGGGCTGAGGAACATAACGAGAGCTAACAAAGCAGGGTCACAGCTTCCCACTCACTACCTCCCACTCCAGGGACCTACAGAAGCCCACCCAGTGGCTTATCTGGGGGGTGAGGGGTGGGCTGCAGCTCAGGAAGATTCCAAAACCGAAAGTGCAAACCCACCCAACACCACGCCACACATGGCTGATGGGTAGAAGCATAAAACCAGGCCCACTCGGAGAGCTGCCAAGTCTAGCCCCACACTCAGCACCCACAGCTCAGGCCTAGGGCAGCCGCATCCCAGAGCTAGAGCACACACACTCACTCACTGATTCATGAAATAATGACATGGCCCCATACAGCTGCCCCTTCCCTTCTCCTCCACACTACCCTGTCCCCCAGACCCAGTCATATATATCCAGGCAGGGCCCAGTCTCAGTCCTGGGATTCAGAAAGTCCCCCTAAGGAAGCCCTTGGACATCCCCCCACACAGGCCATCAGTTCCTCTGGCCCCGGCTCCTAGTCAGATACCGGATCTCTACATAAACACAAGTGCACACAACCGTGGAATGCACATCCTCAAGCCTGCCTGGAGGATACCTGACCTGGTCTACTAGAGACTCCTTGAATTTTCCCCAATTACAGCCACCTTGGGCAGCAGGACCCCACATACTCTGCCCCCAGACACACAGCAGGAAGGAAGTGCTCCCTGCATCCTTCCTTAAGTCCGGCAGAAAGCCAAGGTCCTCACTCTGGGGGGCGCTGGCGTCCCACCGTCCCAGGCCCTCCCCCCACAACACTCAAGGAAGCCCGGGCCGTGCCCCCGCCCGCTCGGAGCCCCGGCCCCACTCACAGGACGCAGAGAGCAAAGGCTCCCGCCACGCTCTCGCTGTCTCGGACCAGGAAGCTGCCATCGCGGCCTGCCCGGGCCAGCAGCTCCTCGGCGGCGGCGCGGCTCAGGTCGCGGTGGTACCAGGCGGGGGCCGGGCTGCCCAAAGCGGCTCCCGGCCCGGCGCCCCCCGGGCCCGGCGCCCCGCACGCGGAGGCCATGGCCCGCGCAGGGCTCAGCGCCGCCCGCGCCCACCTCCCCGCGCCATCCGCCCTGGGACGCTCGGGGCTGAGGCTGGGACCGGGCCCGGGTCCCGGGGCTAAGGATCCGCCGGCGAGGCCGACCCGGAGATGGGAGCTCCGCTTTCCGCCGCGCTTGCCGACGGGTTTGCCGCGCAGCCGACGCCGCCAGCAGCGCCGGCCTCAACTTGAAGAGAAAGAAAAGTTTGTTCAGAGGCGGCGGGGGAGGGGCAGGAGCGGAGCGCCTTGCCGGGCGGCCGGCCCCCACCCCCACCGCTCGGCCCAAGGCCCGGCCCGCCCCTGCCCCCACCCTCTTCCCCAAGGGGAAGTTGCCCTCTGCATCCCGCAGGACCCAGGACCCCCCAAATCCCAGGGCCTCTCAAACCCCACGTGATCCTGCCCCGCCATCACCAGAGAAGATCCAGTTCCTAACCCCCGCATCGAAGCCCAAGTCCCCACAGTCCTGCGCCCCGACACTTCGGGATCCCGACCCCTTCCTTACACACTGGCAATTATACGACCCCCCAACTCCCATAAACGTTTGATACCACCCTCAAATCCTTTCCATTCGGACTCCCTACAGACTCGTAGGATCGAGTTACCAAAATCTGCAAAGGATCCCATGATGAAGCTCCTGCCGTCCCCTCTCCCCATCACCCCCAACTACCTTGAAATCCAGCCCCCTCTTAGACCTGAACCCCCAAACTACTGGTTCCAAATCCCGTGGGGGGGGATCCCTCACAACCCCACAGAAGAGCTCCAGTGTCCTCGAATCCCCAAGCACCGTCCCTGGCAGCCCCTCAGCCCAGGCAGAGCCCTTCCCCCTCTCGGCCAAGTTCCCTGGCACCATCCCCCATACCCGCAGGCCCCGGCCTTGAGGGGTTCAGCAGTCAAGAGAGCAGGCCTCCCTTTGCCCATACATAAGAAAGTTCCCTCAGCCCCCCCGCCCGGGCTCCCGACCTCTCCCTAGAGCTTCGGCTGCCGTGCTCAGACTCACACCTCCTGGGCTGCTGCGAAGCCCCCTTCCCCGGGGAAGCGGCCCTGGACTCTCAGCGGCCACTTAAGATGGCCATCCTCCGCCGCCGCACCCCCCTCGCCTTCCGCCCCGCCCGCCGCTCCGCCCCCGCGGCTCTCCGCCGAGCCGGGGGTAGCACCCGCGCGCCCCGCCTCGCCCGGGCCCAGCGCCTTGATCCCAGAGCTGCTGATCGGCCGATTGACCTCGGGCAGGTCACGGGCGCCTCTCCGAGCCTCGCCTTCCGGCTCTGTATAATGGGGATAACGTTTTGAGGGCAGAGTCCACGAGACTGTGCTTGTAAAGCTTTCGGCACGGGGCCCGGCATCCAGTGGGCGCTCCCGAAAGGCGGCTATTTTTATTATTAATTAAGGAGTAACGAAGGTGACAGCTGTGTAAACTGTAAAGCGCGGCGGCGGAACGAACGGGTATTATTAGCACCCGCCCCCGCCCCAGCTACTCCCTCCAAGTCAACAAACTTGAGCCTCTGTGGGCGGGACGCGGAGCCAGGAGCTCCCTAGACCGGGTTCGCTCGGTCGTCCCCTGGCCTCTTCCCCTCCCACCAGGAGAGGTAGGGTTCCTGGGCCGTCCGGAAAGGGGCGGGAGTCTTAGGAGGGTCTGGCCCGCCCCTCCCCAAAAAAAGACCTAGCCGGTGGCGGCGTCTCCTGGGAGTCCGCTTCCTGCCCCGCCCCTCTGCCCCCTGGATCCTTAAAGGCACAGGCCTCCAGCCTGGTTCCCATTGCTGCCAACTTAGGCCGCTGTTAGAGGATCCCCTTTAACCTGGGAACTTTCACTTTGCTGAATAGAATCTGTGTCTGGGTCAGTTTTAACGAGCTCCTTTCTCTGTTTCAAATATACAGTGACTTTACCCAGCTGGAGCAAAACCAGGGACGCGGAGAGGGGTCTATAGGTCCTTCCAGTCTAGATAAACGTAATGACTGAGATCCATCCACACGGGAAACTGTCTCAGGACCTCTCCAATAACCCAATTACTCGTCCTCCAATCTGTGGCCAACTTCCCCCTTCAGTCACCTCTTGCTATGAGGAGGTTAAGAGAGACCTAGACTGAGTCTTCACTGCTAGCTTCTAGTTTCAAGTTGATGACACCACCTGCCTGGAGTTCTCATTCAGGTACCTGCGCCTCTCTGAGGAGAACTGTGGTTGGGATGTGGAGACAAAGGCTTCCCCAAGGGGAAGCCGGAGACCCTGAGATAAACTGAGGCCAGTTCCTGGGGGCTGTGTAACGACAGAGCAGTCCTCCAGGAGAGGCACACCTACCAATCCTGGAGGGGACAAAGGTGTCGCGGATAGTTCCCGCCTCTGGGAAGCCCTAAGAGTTTCCGCCCCTCTTCCAGTCACGCCTCCAGGACTCAGCAGGGCAGAACTAGGGTTAGAATCTGCAGTGTTTGCTCTGCAGGAACCTCTTCAGACTGCCCTCTTCTCTAAGGTGCCAAGCCCCAACTCTGCCCCTTCAGTCGGTATCATGGGTGAATTTGTTTACACACACACACACACACACACACACCCCCTCAGCCTTCCCTGGACGCCAATCCCCAGTTTTCCCATATCAGCAGAAGGGAGCACAGAGCCTGGGGAAAAGGCCTTCCTTTGGGACCCGGTATAAATAATGAAGTCCTGGACTTGGCTGTCTCATTTGGGTCTATAAGGGCCACAGGATCCCTGAGGACTAATAATGTGCAGGCACTGGGCACACATGCTTTCTAGGCAACATTTCACAACTATGAGAGAAGGAAGGATTATTATCTTCATTTTATTGAAAAGGAAACCGGTTTAAGAAAAGTCAAGCAATTGATTAATTTTCACATAATGAGTAGCAGAACTGGTATTCAAGCTCATGTCTTGTTTCTCTAATCTGAAGGAATCCAAAAACTATGGAATCTGCCCTCTACTGCATACAAACTCAGAACCAAAATAATTCATCAGGCTCAGATGTGTTGGTCTATTTATTAGAACTGGCTGTCAGAGAAACCCCAAGCCCCACCCTGGAGCAGGAACTGGATGACAAAGGGATGGATAACGAATGGAAGCGTGCTGATGGCTCCCTCATTTGTGGGAGCTGAACTGAGCCCAGCCTGGTCATCAAACCTGGGGACAGGCTGGACTCAGTCATGGAGCCAGAGTGACAGCATCAGGGCCAGGCAGAGCAAGAGAGGTCTAATACCCTGGGGCCTGGCCTCAGCAGTCAAGGCCAAGGCATAGAATCTCGCCACCTCCTCGTTGGGGTTGCCCAGGGCAGGGTCGAACCACATCTGGATGCAGCGGCCGCTGCCCCGGCTGTAGTTGCTGAGCTTGTAGGAGTGACTCCAGAGGCCCTCACACAAGGCTGCAGGTGTGGGGAAGTAGGTCTCAAATGTGCGGCAGGTGGTCCCATTTGGACACTTATTAGATCCTGCAGGGGGAGAGAAGGTGGGCATGGACATTCTGTCCCTAGGCCCAAAGCGTAACTCTGGCCGCCCCTAGGAATCCTTGCTCAACCCCAATCCTCAGATCCCCTTTCTCCACCCCTCCCTACCCACCTGTCCAGTCCCAGCCCCTGTGCCAGTTGCTCTTGCAAGTGTAGGAGGTGCGGCAGTCTTCCCACCAGATCTGACAGTCCTCTTTGCACAGGGGCACGTTCAGGAACCGTTCTTTGCGCCACTTCTGGTTCACCTGGGGGAGAGGGTAGGGACAGGGAGGCTCAGTCAGCCAGGGATGTTGGTAGGAACAGCTATGACTGAGTTGGGGGCAGCCTGCTGGGGTGGAAGGAAGGAGACCCCAGTACCTCCTGGATCCAGGGCCCCAGATTGGGTGAGCACTCGTACAAACAGTTGTCCTGAATGAAGTGGCGCTGGCAGGCGGGCTCCATCTTGCCACAGTGGTCCCAGGTAAAGTTATACAAGGAGGAGGTGTCCTTGTGCAGTTCCTGACTGACTCTGGCGGAGCAGCAGGCGTTCTTCTTCCAGGGGGTGCACTAGGTGGGGAAGACATGAGACTAGTTGCCTCCAGACCACCAACTCTGCCACCTCCAGCCTCTTCCCATTTGTCTCTTCTTGCTCTCCTGTCTCAGGGAGGTTGTCCTAAGAATGCTCACTATTTAAAAAAAAAAAAAATGAATGCTCACTATTCCGACCCTTCTGTTCTTGGCCTCCAGAAACTCCTGTCTTGGGGGAGACAGTTACAAGACTGATAGGGGCAGTGAAAGCCTGGGAGAAGCCCTGTCTTGGGAAGACAATAGCTATCATTTATACAGTGCTTGACACTTCATACAAAGTAATTTATTTATTCCCTAAAAATAATTACTGAGTACTTATTTTATGCCAGTTACTGTTCGAGATGCTGGGACTACAGAAGAGAACAAAACAGGCAGAAATATGTGTTCTAGTCAAGAGAGACAGTAAGAAGCTAAAAGAGAAAAAAAACAGGATCTGATCAATTATATGGATAAAATAACAGCAGGGAATAGAAACATGGAATGATTGTTGAAATTTGAAAGAGGGTGGTTGGTTGTATTAAGCCTCATTGGAAGATGGCTTTTTGAGCAAAGGAGGAAAGGTGTACTGCATTACAGCATGCAGTAATATATGTCAAAGTCTCTCACCCTTTAAACCCCTGGGAGTGCCCACCTCAATCCTACCCCCACCGCATCACAGGGGCAAGTCCTGTCCAAATCCTCTGGGTGTCCATGTGCTTCTCTGGGCCTCAGTTTCCTCATTTGTACCAAGTGGAGGAGAACATCATCTACCCATATCACAGGACCTCTGGGAATATGAAATCATCCACAGAAAACACATGACACCTGGTAGGTGCTCAGTAAGTGTTTATTTCACATTATTGCCAACATGGTATCCTATTCTGAGCAGTCCACATCTAGAATCACATCAACTGCACCCCCATCCTGCCTTCATCTTCTCCCACAATAGTAACTCAGGATGTGTGTGTGTAATGGAAGCAATGATCCCTCCCCCTTCCCCCACCACCCTGACTTCCTCTTCCTTGTCTGAACAAGCCCCCTCCCAACCCAGAGCCACACTCCATCCTCACCTGGTTGTGTAGCTTGTCCTCAGGGCCAGGTTCTGCCTTGTGGTGCTTGGCATCCATGCAGACGTTAAGCAGGTCTGTCCGGGTCCGGGCACTGCACACAGAAATCATCCAGCCCAGAAACAGCAGAAATGGTGTCAGTTTCCAGGGCATGTCTTTCCCTTCCTGCAGAGGCAACTGTGGAGGAGACCAAAGTTTGAAGGGAGAGAGCCCCTTGCAGGGTCCCCCCTTTGCCTCCTGCCTCAGTCTCCCCAACTCCACAGTGTAGGATGGGGTCAGACCCTGTTCTTCCAGTGCTGGGGCCCCGAGTCTCCTTGAGGCTGGAGTAGAGAAGATTGGCAAGGGCAGCAGCTCCCTCACCGTAGGTCTGGGGGGCTCAAAAGGGGATCTGGGGTTAGGTTCCCTGGGGGAATCTTCCCAAGTTGGAGGAGACTCCTTGTGGCCCTACCTTCTCTCTGGGCTGACCCAAGAAAAGTAACTAAATAATTCAGGTCCGTGCTCTACTCTCTGGAAGAGGACACAGCCTTCATCCTGTGTCCAGCAAGGCTCTGCCTTCACTCCCTTGACCACCCAGGTTTCCATGCCAGCTTAGAAACCCTGTTATCCTGGCATGGCAGTGACCTAGCTCTGCTGAGTTCTCCAGTTCAGCATGAGGATCAAGCGAGGTGGCACACAGGATGGTGATGGTTAAGTGATACAGAAATGATGAGGGGGGTTGTTTCTAAACAGCTTTGTGCTCTCAGACTTTTTCCTTCCCTATTTTCTGAAAATCATGTCCTTCCATCGTGACTCTGGTCTCCTCAGCAACTTCTGAACAAATTAACCAGATCCCTGCCTTTATCCTTCAAAGAACAAATGCAGGATCCTAGGACAAGGGACAGTGTAAAAGTCCCCCACATTGGAGTTGCTAACCAGACAAGAACTTCAAGTCATGGGAGACACCCAGCAAAAGCGACAGCCCCCTACTCTGTTCATGACTGCCCCTCACCTTCCACCCCCTCACCCATCTCCTGTATAACAGATCTGTTCCTTTAGATTCTGTCACTGAGGGACCTAAGAATTGATAATGGAGACCTCCCCCTCCCTCACCATCCCCCATGTTGTTGATCCCCAAGCCCTGGCAAGGGACTCTCCAAAAATTCTTTCTGGAATTCACTTCCGTTGGCTCTGTGTTTGGAGTAAGGTCTTCCCTCCTCCAGCTTCTTCCCCTTTAAGTCACCTTCCCCACAGGAGCCAGAGTCCTCTCTCTAAAGAGAGATATGTCTCTCCTCTATGTGCCAACCTGCCAACTCCCCTGAGTGCCCCGTCACACTTCCCTCCTTAGGGCAACTTGCCTGAGCCTCCTTGGCTACCAGGTTCGCACACAGCTCTGGCTGGATTGGCCTTTCTCCAGGCTGTCCTCTGTGGTCTCCGTCCTCAGCGCAGGATAGACTGACTGAGAGCTCTGGTAAGTACAGATACAATTTCCTCTTTCAGTTCTTCTCCTGCTCTTCCTTCTTTTTGGATCCCACCCTCTCCAAGATTCCTTTAGGCTGACAAATGAACCATTCTTGTTTACACCCATCTCTCCATTTGTTAACTTAGTCATTCCAGGGTCCCCACATTCAACATTCATCAGAATCTAGAGTGGGCTTCCCTGGTGGCTCAGTGGTAAAGAATCTGCCTGCCAATGCAGGAGACATGGCTTCAATCCCTGATCCAGGAAGATCCCACGTGCCTCGGAGCAATTAAGCCAGGCCACCACAGCTACTGGAGTCTGCCCTCTAGAACCTGGGAACCCCAATTCCTGAGGCCCACGCACCCTAGGGCCTGTGCCCCTCAACAAAAGAAGCCACCATGATGAGAAGCCTATGCACTGCAACTAGAGAGTAGCCCCCACTCTCCACAACTAGAGAAGAGTCTGAGCAGTGATGAAGACCCAGCACAACCAGAATAAATAAAAATTAAATTTAAATTAAAAAAAATCTAGATGATTGCTCATCTCCAAGAGGGGCTCTGAATTTTTTACCCCAAGTGCTGACTTGAGGGAAATGGGACCTAGTGAGGAAGAACACAGGCTTTGTGACCAGGATGAAACCCAGTGATAGCTCCATCTCTCCCACAGCTATAGGAAACATTGCTGAATCTTTCTTAGGTTCAGTTTGCTCACAAGAAAACTGTTAAGAATTATATGTAGAAAAGTTTCTCATATACCGAGTAGGCTTAAATTTTTTTTTTAATTTAACTATGTGTGTGTGTGTGTGCATGTTCTCACTCAATTGTGTCCGACTCTTTGAGACCCAATAGACTATAGCCCCCCAGGCTCCTCTGTCCATGGAATTCTCCAGGTGAGAACACTGGAGTGGGTTGCCATGCCCTTCTCCAGGGGATCTTCCTGACCTCGGGATCAAACCCAGATCTCCTGCACTGGAGGCAGATTCTTTACTGTCTGAGCCACCAGAGAAGCCCAATTTAACTATAGTTGATTTATAATATTGTGTTAGCTCCAGATATACATCTTCATATTCTTTTCCATTGTAGGTTATTACAAGATTACTACAAGATTATTTTCCATTGTAGGTTATTGCAAGTGTGTAACTGTTATTCCCATACTCCTAATTTATTCTTCTCTATCCCCTTTCCCATTTGGTAACCATAAGTTTGTTTTCTATGTCTGTGAGTCTGTTTCTATTTTGTAAATAAGTTGATTTGTATTATTATTATTTTAGCCACACCACACAGTAATGTATTTTTTTTTTTAGATTCCATATACAAGTGATATGATATTTGTGTTTTTCTACCTGACTTATTTTACTTAGTATGACAATCTGTACATCCATTCATATACTGCAAATGGCAATATTTCCTTCTTTTTATGGCTGAGTAATATTTTATTGTGTGTGCATCAGTTCCTCAGTGTTGCTCAGTCATTCCCAACTCTGCGCCCATGGACTGCAGCCCACCAGGCTTCTCTGTCCATGGGATTTTCCAGGTAAGGATACTGAAGTGGGTTGCCATTTCCTTCTCCAGGGGATCTTCCCAACCCAGGGATCAAACCTGGGCCTCCTGCACTGCAGGCAGATTATTTACTGACCAAGTTACCAGGGAAGCCCCTGTGTGTGCATATGTGTGTGTAAAAACATATGTATGCACACCACATCTTCTTTATCCATTCATCTGTTGATGGACATTTAGGTTGCTTGAGAGGGCTTGAATGGCAGAAATCAGATTAATTTATGAGCAGCCAGATGAACCAGGTAGAAGTTGAGGTATAGAAGTCAAGGGTCACAGAGAAAAATTGTCTCAACCCTGATAAATGATAATACCTCACCATCTACCATTTCTGTAAACATAATTAAGCAATTTTTTAGCCTTTTAAACAAATGCGGTAAAATATAGACTACTTAAAATTTACTGTCTTAACTATTTTAAGCCTGTAGTTCAGTGGTGTTAAGTATATTCATGTTGTGCAACACATCTCTAGGCCATTTTCATTCTGTAAAACAGAAACTCTGTTTCCATTATATCAACAGTCCCCTGTTTCCTCTTCTCTCCAGTCCCTGGCAATGGCCATTCAACTTTTTATGTCTATGAATTTGGCTACTCTTTTTGTTGTTGTTCATTCACTCAGTCGTGTCCGACTCCTTGCAATTCCATGGACTGCAGCATGCAAGCCTTCCCTGTCCATCTACTCCAGTAGCTTGCTCACACTTATATCCATTGAGTCGGTCATGCCATCTTGCCCTCCGTCATCCCCTTCTCCTCCTGCCCTCAGTCTTTTCCTAGCATCAAGGTCTTTTCCATGACTCAGTTCTTTGCATCAGGTGGCCAAAGTTTTGGAGCTTCGACCTCAGCCTCAGTCTTTCCAATGAGTATTCAGGATTGATTTCCTTTAGGATTGACTGGTTTGATCTCCTTGCAGTCCAAGGGACTCTCAAGAGTCTTCTCCAACACTACAGTTCAAAAGCATCAATTCTTCAGCCCTCAGATTTCTTTATAGTCCAACTCTCACATCCATACATGACTACTGGAAAAACCATAGCTTTGACTAGATGGACCTTTGTCAGCAAAGTAATGTCTCTGCTTTTTAATATGTTCTCTAGGTTTGTCATAGCTTTTCTTCCAAGGAGCAAGCATCTTTTAATTTCATGGCTGCAGTCACCATCTGCAGTGATTTTCCTTCATATAATTGGGGTCACACATTATTTGTCCTTTTGTGTCTGTCTTATTTCACTTAGCATAATGTCCTCAAGGTTCATCCACATGTCAGAATTTCATTCCTTTTTATAGCTGAAGGGAACGATAGAGGATGAGATGGCTGGATGGCATCACCGACTCGATGGGCATGAGTTTGAGTGAACTCCGGGAGTTGGTGATGGACAGGGAGGCCTGGCGTGCTGTGATTCATGGGGTCGCAAAGAGTCGGACACGACTGAGCGACTGAACTGGACTGAATATTCCATTGTATGTATACTACAATGGATAATATTTTATCTGTTCATCCATCCTTGGACATTTGAACTGCTTCCACATTTTGGCTATTGTGAAGAATGCCACCATGACATTTTCTTTTTTTTTGGGCATGCCACGTGGCATGTGGGATCATAGTTTCCCTACCAGGGATTGAATGTGCACCCTGTGCGTTGGACGTGCAGAGTCTTAACCACTAGACCACCAGGAATGTATCCTGAAGAATGCTTCTATGAACACAGGTATACAATTATCTCTTTGGGACACTGGTTTTGATTCTTTTGGATATATAACCAGAAGTGGAGTAGCTGGATTGTATGGTAATTCTATTTTTAATTTTTTAAATTGTAGCATGCAGGGTCTTTTAGTCGCAGCCTGCAAACTTTTAGTTGTGACATGTGAGATCTAGTTCTCCGATCAGGGGTCAAACCCAGGCCCCCTGCCTTGGGAGCTTGGCATCTTAGCCACTGGATCACTAGGGAAGTCCCTCTATTTTTAATTTTGAGGAACTATCATACTGTTTTCCAAAATGGATGCACAATTTTATATTTCCACCAACAGTGTACAAGAATTTCAATTTCTCCACATTCTGGCCAAAACGTATTAATATCTTCTGTTTGTTTGTTTGTTTCTTTAATAGTAGCCACCCTAGTGGGTATGAGGTGATATGTAACTGTGGTTTTAATTTGCATTTCTCTAATGATTAGTAATGTGGAACATTTTTTCATATGCTTGTTGGTCATTTGTATATCTTTTTTGGAGAAATGTCTATTTGTGTTATTTGCCCATTTTTAAATCAGTTTACACTTCTTTTGTTGTTAAATTTTAGGAGTTCTCAATATATATTCTGGGCTAACTTCTTATCAGACGTATGTTCTGATTCTGTATTCTGTATGTTGCCTTTTTATTCTTTTGTCTTTTGCTGCACAGAAGTTTTAAATTTTGATGTAACCCAATTTATCTTTTTTTTTTTTTTTTGGTTACTTTTGCTATCATATCTAAGAAATTATTGAAGCTTTTCCCCTAAGTTCTCTTATGGAGTTTTATAGTTAGTTATAGCTCTTATGTTTAGGTCTTTGATCCATTTTTGAGTTAATTTGTATGTGGTGTAAAATAAGGTTTCAACCTAATTTTTCTGCATGTGAATATTGAGTTGTGCCTCAGCACCATCTCTTGAAAAGATTATTCTTTCCCCTATTGCATTGTCTTGGCACTGTTGTCAAAAATCTGGGCTCTAGGTTCTATCCTATCTATCTATCTATCCTTCTGCTACTCCTGCATTGTCTTATTATTGTTTGTAGTAAGTTTTAAAATCAGGAAGTGTGAGTCTCCTCAAGTTTGCTGAACTCACTTGTTAATAATCATGTGTTTGAGGATTCCTTAGGATTTTCTATACAGAATGTCATGTTATCTGTGAATAAAAATAGTTTTACTTCTTGCTTTCCAATTTGTGTGTTTCTTATCTCTTTTTCTTCACTAATAGCCCTAGCTACAACCTTTATACAGCACTGAATAGACAAGATGAGAGTTTATAATTGTCTTATTGCTGATCTTAGGGGTAAAGCCTTTTGGCTTAGAACAGGATGTTAGCTGTGGGTTTTTCATAGAAGTCCTTTATCACATTGGGGAAAATCACTTCTATTCCTAGTTGGTTCAATGTTTTATTTTGTTTTTTTAATTAAATGATTTTGTCAAATGGTGTTCCTGCATCCACTGAGATGATCATGTGGTTTGTATTTTATTCTAGTAATATGGTGTATTAAACCAATTGATTTTGAGATGCTAAACCAAGTTACATTCTTTAGATTCTCCCAGTTTGTAATGATGTATAATCCTTTTCTATATGCTGCTGAATTCTTTGATGTTTTGTTGAGAAGATTTACATCTTTATTCATAAAAGATGTTGGCCTGTAGTTTTCTTTTCTTGTTTTTGTTTAATTTTATACCAGGGTAATACTGGTCTCATAGAATGAGTTGAGGGGTGTTCTCTCCTTTTTTTTTTTTTTAAGAATTTGCAAAGGATTGGTACTCATTATGCTTCATACATTTGGTAGAATGCATCACTGAGGCCATCTGGGTCTGAACTTTTCTTTGAGGAAGTTTTAAAATTACTAATTCAGGGACTTTCCTGGTGGTCCAGTGGTTAAGATTCTGAGCTTCCATGGCAGGGGGTGCAGGTTCTGATCAGAATACTGAAATCCCACATGCCGAGGCATGGTCAAAATTAATTAACTAACTGATTTTTTAAAAACTTAGTCTCTTTACTTTTTATGCCTGCTAAGTCACTTCAGTTGTGTCCAACTCTTTGCGACCATATGAACCATAGCCTGACAGGCTCCTCTGTCCATGGGATTCTCTAGGCAAGAATACTGGACTGAGTTGCCATTTCCTCCTCCAGGGGATCTTTCCTGCCCAGGGACTGAACCCAGGTCTCCTGCATTGCAGGCAGATTCTTTACTGCCTGAGCCACCAGGGAAGCCCCTTTATTCGTTATAGGTATATTTAAACGTTTTACTTATTTGTGTGTCGTCTTTGATAGTTTGTGCTTTTCTAGGAATTTGTCCATTTCATTTGTGTTGTTATCTATTGACTTACAGTTGTTCATAATATTCTGTTACAATGCTTTTTATTTCTGTGAGAATAATAGTAATATCCCCTCTTTTATTCCTGATTTTAATAATTTGATTCTTCTCTCTTTTTTTCTTGAAATCAATGTAGCTAAAGACCAATCAATTTTGTTGACTTTTTCAGAGAACCAACTTTTGGTTTTCTTCATTTTCTCTGTTGTTTTTCTACCCTCTGTTCCATTTATTTCTGCTTTACTCATTATTTCTTTCATTCTGATGGCTTTGAGTTTATTTTGTTTTATTTTATTTAGTCTGTTTTTATTTTTTTAAGGTAATAGGTTAGGTTACTAATTTAAAATCTTTTTTTTAATATAGGCTTTTATAGCTCTAGATTTCCTTCTAAACAATGCTTTAGCTGTATCAAATAAGTTTTGATCTTTAAAATTTTTTTATTTATTTATTTTATTTTTGGCTGTGTTGTGTCTTCATTGCTGCCTGTGGACTTTCTCTCGTTGTGAGGAGTAGGAGCTACTTTCTAGTTGCCATGTGCAGGCTTCTCATTGCAGTGATATCTTTTGTTTCGGAGCACATGCTATAGGCCTGAGGGTTTCAATAGTTGTAGTGCCAGTTGTAGTTGCTCTGTGGCCTGTGAGATCTTTCCAGACCAGGGATCAAACTTGTGTCCCCTGGCAGGCAGATTCTTAACCACTGGACCACTGGGGAAGTCCCATAACATAATAAATATACATATATTTTTTTTATCATTTATTTGTATTAGTTGGAGGCTAATTACTTTATAGTAAATATATTTTTAAAATTTTGAATTCTAACTGTTCATTGGGCTTCCTTCGTGGCTCAGCTGGTAAAGAATCTGCCTGTACTGTGGGAGACCTGTGTTTGATCCCTGGGTTGGGAAGATCCCCTGGAGAACAGAAAGGCTACCCACTCCAGTATTCTGACCTGGAGAATTCCATGGACTGTATAGTCAATGGGGTCACAAAGAGTTGGACCCGAACTGTTCATTGCTAGTATGTGGGAAGGCTAGATTGACTTTTGCTTATTGACCTTATGTCCTCCAAACTTGTTATAATCACTTATTAGCTCCAGGAGTTGTTTGGTCAGTTCTTGCGGATTTTCTACATAGGCGAACATGTCATCTACTAACAAAGACACTTTTTCTCCCTCCCCAACTTGTAGAGCTTTAATTTCTTTTCTCATCCTAAGCGTTGGTTAGAACTTCCAGTATCCTATTGAAAAGGAGTGGTGAGGAGAGACATCCTTCTTGGGAAAGCCTCAAGTTTCTCACTATGACATGTTAGCTCTAGGGCTTTTTGTAGATATTCTTTATCAAGTTGAGGAAGTTCTAGTAAATTTTTAATTTCAGTTATTGTACTGTTCTGCTCCAGAATTTTCTATTTCCTTTTTAAATAATTTATGTCTCATGGATATTCTGTATTTGGTGAGGTGTCATTTTCATATTTTCCTTGAATTCCTTAGACCCAATTTCCTCTAGTTCTCATTTATAATACCTGATTTAAAGGTATTATATCTTAATACCTTATCTTTGTCTAATAAGTCCAACGTCTGGGCTTCCTCAGGGATAGTTTTTATTGACTACTTTTTCTCTTTGCTTGGGATGTGCTTTCCTATTTCTTTGTATGTCCAACATTTTTTGCTGAAAACTGGATATTTTAAATAATATATGTGACAACTTCAGAAATCATATCTTTTCAACCAGAGCTTGCTGTTAGTGCTGTTTATTTGTTTATTGATTTTCATGGACTGCTTCTATAAAGTCTGTTCTGGTACATGGTAGTCACTGAAGTTTCTGCCTGGTTAGCTCAGTTGTCAGCCAATGACTGGACAGAGCTTTCCTTAAATGCCTTGAAGAAATGTCTCCTACTGTTTGCTAAGGGATTCTGTATGTTGGTCCAGGCAAGCTTCAAATGCTCTAGCAGTTTACTCCGCCTTATTCATCACTACCTGCATGAGCAAGGCCTCAAGGTCACTAGAGTTAAGGGACTGGTGCCTTTTCAGGTATTTCCTGGACATATCAGTTCTGCAAATGCACATAAATTTTAGGATTCCCAGGTAGATGTCAGCTTTTCAAAGCTCTCTCTTGGCTTCTCATTCCCTAATATTACTTTTAAGTTTGTTGTTGTTTTTTTTAATCATGCCTCTTGTTTGCCACAACTGGTAGGAAGCTGCGATGTCAAATAATTAGCTGTGGCTTTTTTAGACGAACACCTGGGGATGGAGTTTCTCACTGCGTGGGCTCTGAGTCAGACAAGCCCTGTGAATGGGGCTCTTCACAGAGCTTCTAGACAGATCAAGCAGCAACAGTTCTCTTGGAACAGAGCTTTTTGGGGAGTTTCACACCCACTCTGCCCCCTCTAGTGGCTGCTGGGTCACTGGTTTTTGTAGTTACTGGAGTTGTGAGACTGCCGATTTTGGACACTACTGTGGCGTTGCAGAGGAGGATGGGAAAAAGCAAATAAAAATGCCACAAAGTTCACTGTTCCTAGTGATATTCGGCCATTTTTCTTGAATAAATTCTCCTTAGATTTTTGAAAGCTCTGATTAATTTCCAGAGTTCTGGAAAAGTTGGTTTTGACAAGTTTTTCCAGTGTTACTACTTTTATGGAGGAGTGGATTTTCAGATGTTCTGACTCTGTCATTCCAGAAGTTCTTCTTCAGATTCTTTCTATTTAAAGAAGCAGAAAGCTTTAAATAATATTGGTCACTTGTAAGTAAAATGGTCTTTGAGTATACAGTCTACTGTTAAAATGAATAATAAGTTTTTCCTATATGTTTTGCACATATAGCAAAGTTGTCCTTACCAACCGAAATTTGAACTTACTTAAAATATATTATATTATATTTATTTGGCTGTGTTGGGTCTTAGTTGCAGTGCGTGGGCTCTAGAGGACATGGGTTCAGTAGCTCCAGAATGTGATTTAGTTGCCCCACTGCACGTGAAATCTTGGTTCCACAACCAGGGCTCGAACTGGGTCCACTGTATTGGAAGGTGGATTTTTAACCACTGGACCACCAGGGAAATCCCTGAATTTGAACTTTCACTTTTCAAAAAACATGTTAATTTTGAGGGCTTTGTACTAACTTGCATCATGCTCTTAGGTCATGATATAACATAAAACAGTAGGATCCCTCATTTCTAGAGAAGTTAAACTCTTAGTGACAGGTTGTTACAAAATATGGTTGTCATATTAATAATACAGCCAAGAGTGAGGCTATTTCCTGACAACACTTTTTTTGTTTGTTTGTTTCCCTTCTCCAAGATCTGGTCCTAAATTCAGAATAATAAACATATCAAGACATATTTTATACCAAAATCATCTTGGAACTTACCAGACAGCTGCTAGAATACATAAAAAATTTGCTCCCTCTTGGCACAGCACTCGTAAGTAAAGAAGGAGACACGGGAGACAAGGAAGGATGCTAAAAATAGGTATAATTGGTATGCTCCATGTTTCAAAATCCAGCTTATCAGTATTATGAGAGCTTCTCTGTACATCGTGTTCACGTTGTGGAGAAAGATGTTAGAGCAAAGAAAAGAACTCATCCTTTCTAGAGGATTTTTATACAAGGTAATGGATTATGACTGTGAATGTTTAGTGATTGCGAACTTTCCCAGAAGAGTGAAAAGCACACTCATTTTCATAAGTAAAGGTTTGCATGATGATTGTCAACAAATCTATTTTCAGGGTGATTTTATTCTTTATTTTAAGATAACCTTCTATTATTGATAGGAATTTTCATGTACAACTTTCAAAATGGCCTGTAAAGTCCTCAAGATTTCTAAATACATCCACTGTCCATCATTTACAGAGCTGAGGCAAATAGAGAAGACAAATGGAATTATGAAAAACAGGTTGGTTAAACTGGCTGAGAAGACAGACTCTCCTTGTCCACCTCTCCCTCTCCAAGTTCTAATAATATGTTCTCCTCAAAACAGCCATCAACTGAGACCTCACGGAATACAGCAGTCAGCAGTAGGTTCATGCTCTGTTGGTGCAAAAGAAATTGCAGTTTAAATCATTGTAACTATGGCTAAACACACCTTTATTAATCAAAACATGAATGATCACAATCAACATATTTTTGCCAATGAGAAATAAGCTTGTTTATTCCTGTACATAAAATTTGTGCTTCAGGATTCAATGAACTCCTAGAAGCATTTTCTGCCTTCTGCTGGTTGTGGAAGCATTTTCCCTGCAAAAGTTGTCAAGATGCTTGAAGAAGTGGTTGTTTGTTGGCGAGAGGTCAGGTGAAAATGGCGGATGAGGCAAAACTTCATAGCCCAGTTCGTTCAACTTTTGAAGCATGGTTGTGCCATGTGTGGTTGGGCATTGTCCTGGAGTAGAATTGGGTTCTTTCTGTTGAACAATGCTGGCTGCAGGTGCTGCAGTTTTCAATGCCTCTTAGCAATTTGCTGAGCATACTTCTCAGATGTCGTGATTTTGCCAGGATTCAGAAAACGGTAGTGGATCAGACAGGCGGCAGCCGACCACCAAACAGTAACCATGTTTGGAGCTTCTCAGTCCAGCCACTGAGTTGGTCATCGCCGGTTGTCATATAAAATCCACTTTGCTTTGCATGTCACAATCCAATCGAGAAATGGTTCATTGTTGTTGCATAGAATAAAAGAAGATGACACTTCAGAACAATTATTTTTTTATTTGCGGTCAGCTCATGAGGCACCCACTTATTGAGCTTTTTCATCTTTCCAATTTGCTTCAAATGCCAGATGACTGTAGAATGGTCGATGTTGAGTTCTTCAGCAACTTCTCATGTCATTGTGAGAGGATCAGATTTGATGATGCTCTCAGTTGGTTGTTGTCAACTTCCGGTGGCCAGCGACTGTACTTATCTTCAAGGCTCTCATCCCCTTTGCAAAACTTCTTGAACCACCACTGCACTGTATGTTCATTAGCCATTCCTGGGCCAAATGTGTTGTTGATGTTGTGAGTTCTCTCTGCTGCTTTATGACCCATTTTGAACGCAAATAAAAAAAATTGCTCAAATTTGCTTTTTGTCTAACATCATTTCCAGTGCAAAAAATGCAATTAGTTTTGCACCAACTTGAAATTACACCCCAGTGAACATTCTTCTCTCTTTTATTCTGATATTAGAAATTAATAGATTGACCACATCTTGGTTCCTGTTAACAAGGGTTTCTCTTCTCTCCTCTTGTTTTTCTAAAGATACTACCATAGTTGACTGACTGGAAAATAGACTCATGCATCTGATGTCACCACCATAAACTAACACTTGAATGATTTACCCTGTCAGAGCCTTGGAACTTGCAATTTCCAGAAAAATTCTAGCCCCAAAGAAGGAGACTTCTATGGAGACAGATTCAAGACACAAACAGGTCATCAGAAATTATTTTTAAAGAATTAGGGAAGTTGATGAAGGCTATATGATTGTGGTCATTGTGTTGGTATTTTTGGTAATGTGCTTCATGTTCTTTTTTTGATTAGTCATATGATACAGCCCTTTTTCTTTCTCCTGGCTGTGGTCTCTAACCCTCAATTTAGTAGACCATACTTGTGCCAACCACAATAAACATTCTCCCTAAAAAAAATTCTTGGTCAATGGGCCACTCTCCTAAGCATCCACATTGGTATCGTCTACAACTATTCCAAGAACTGACTCCCTCCTTTATTGCCACGTTGGTTCAACAAATCTCTCAAAGTTCATGATGGAACAGAGTTTGACTCAGATGATAGATTTTTATGGAGCCAGTCACTAAATTCCTTAGTATATATCCCCTCATGAATACACTAAACAGAAATTCAAAAATGTGTAAAATTCCTTATATACTACCATTGCAAGGGAGTGTATTCTATAGGCAATCATTCATTTATTCATCCATGTATTTATTCATTTTGCATATCATAAAATTTACACATTTAACGCTTACAGTGATTTTCCAGAGTGGTGCAACCTCACCATAAATGAGTTTTAGCACATTTTCATCCCTGCTTATGCCCATTTATAGTTAATCCCTGTTCCTAAATCCAGCCCCAGGCAAACACTAGTCTACTTTCTGTCTTTATAAGTTTGCCTTTTCTGGGACTAATGGTCTTTCACCTAGCATAAGGTTTTTACGGTTCACACATAACGTAGCATGTACCAATAGTTCATTACTTTTTATTGCTAAATAGCATTTTGTTGTATGGCTACAACACATTTTGTCTGTCTACTCACTAGTTCGTGGACATTGAAGTTATTTTCAATTTGGGGCTTTTATGAATAATGTTGCTATGAACATCCACATTTGTGGATTTGTATTTTCATTTCTCTTGAGTAATTGCTTAGAAGTATAATCAATGGGTTTTGCTTAACTTTTTGAGAAACTACCACACTGTTTTCCAAAGGGCTGTGCTATTTCACATTCCCATTAGCAATACAGGCTGGTTCTAGTTTCCCTTCATCTTGGTGAGCATTGGTCATTGCCTGTCTTTTTTTTTTCCTAAGTATTTATTTATTTGGCTGTACCGGGTCTTAGTTGTGGCCCACAGGATCTTTGTTGCAGATGTGGGATTTTTAGTTTCAGCATGTGACCTCTTAGCTATGGGATCTAGTTCCCTGACCACGGATCGAACCTGGGCCCTCTGCATTGGGAGCGCAGAGTCTTAACCACTGGACCACCAGGGAAGTACCTGCCTGTCTTATTTATTGTAACTATTCTAATGGGTATGAAGTGGTACCTCATTGTAATTTTAATTTTACATTGTAATTTTAGTTTTAAACAACAGAATGATCTGTTTCGAAGGCAAACCATTCAATATCATAGTAATCCAAGTCCATGCCCCAACCAGGAATGCTGAAGAAGCTGAAGTTGAACCTTTCTATGAAGACCTACAAGACCTTCTAGAACTAACACCCCAAAAAGGTGTCCTTTTCATTATAGGGGACTGGAATGCAAAAGTAGGCAGTCAAGGATACCTGGATTAACAGGCAAATTTGGCCTTGGATTACAAAACAAAGCAGGTCAGAGGCTAACAGACTTTTGCCAAGAGAATGCACTGGCCATAGCAAACACCCTCTTCCAAAAATACAGGAGAAGACTACACACGGGCATCACCAGATGGTCAATACCGAAATCAGATTGATTATATTCTTTGCAGCCAAAGATGGAAAATATAGTCAGGAAAAACAAGATCAGGAGCTGACTGTGGTTCAGATCATGAACTCCTTATTGCAAAATTCAGACTTAAATTGAAGAAAGTAGGGAAAACCACTAGACCATTCAGTTCAGTTCAGTTTAGTCACTCAGTCGTGTCCGACTCTTTGCAACCCCATGAACTGCAGCACACCAGGCCTCCCTGTCCATCACCAACTCCCAGAGTCCACCCAAACCCACGTCCATTGAGTCGATGATGCCATCCAACTGTCTCATCCTCTGTCGTCCCCTTCTCCTCCTGCCCTCAATCTTTCCCAGCATCAGGGTCTTTTCCAGTGAGTCAGATCTTCACATCACGTGGCCAAAGTATTGGAGTTTCAGCTTCAGCATCAGTCCTTCCAATGAA